CCCCCCCCGCGGCACCTTGCCCTCCTGCCAGCCGACGCCCCGGATGCCGATGTGGCGCGGCGCCTGCAAAATGAAATCGCCCTCATGTGGTGCGTACCTGCTGCCGGCCGGCACCCCATGCGCCTGGCCACTTTGTGGCCGGGGTTGCTTTTTTTTCCGCCCGCCCGCCCCCGGGCTCACTCCCGCCCCCGGGGGCATCGGTCGGTCGCGCTGACATGGCTGCCCGCCTGCTTGCCCCTTGACCCAGGCTGCTCCGCGATCAGGACAACATCGTGCGGATGTACGGCTACAGCGACAGCCCGCCGGCCCTGGTCATGCAGCAATACCAGACGGACCTGGGGAGGCTCGTCCACTCGCGGGCCGATGTGCCCCTGGGCGACATGCTGCACATTTGCCACCAGTGGGCCGCCGGGCTGGACGCCATGCACAATGCCGGGGTGGCGCACTGCCACTTCGGGCCGGACAAGATCCTGGTGGCCCCCGCGGGCCCGGGGTCCTGGCTGGTGGCGGTCGGCGACCTGGCCGCATCGAGGAACCTCCGCCACCCGCCGGCCGAGGTGGCCCCCCCCGCGCCGGGCCCCCGGCGGGCGGCCTACACCGCGCCGGAGGTGCTGCTTGCCGCCGAGCGCCAGCGCCCGCTCAAAGCCGCCTTCCACCTGCCGGCCGATGTCTTTGCCGCGGCCGTGGTCCTATGGGAGTGCCTGACCCGCGCCATCCCCTGGGAGGGTAAGCAACCATCCGCCCTTTGCCTCTTCCTCCCCCCGCCGCACCCTGTCCAGGCACACAGCGCACTCCCCCCCCTCGCCCGGCCCTTACTGACTGCCCTGCTTGCGCACGCCCGCCCGCCAGGCTCCGACGCGGACACCATCAAGGCGGACGTGCGGTCTGGCCGGCGGCCGGACATGGCCGCGGCCGTGGCGCCCCTTCGCCAGCAGGCCCCGACCTTCGTCCAAGCCACCACCAACCTCCTCAACCAGGCATGGGACGAGGACCCCCTCGACCGGCCGTCAGCCATGGCCATCCACCAGCTGTGCGCCGCTATCCTGGCCGCCCTGCCGTGACCATGGCCGCCCCCATGCGCCGGGCGTCTCCTCGTGTCTATGCGATAAATCTTCACATCCCTCCGTCGTGTGGCCCCTCCGGGCCGGGGCGGGGGGGTCTTCTTTTTTCTTTTTTCTTTTTCATGGGCGCCCGCTTCTCCACATCGGCACAGGGCGCCCTGCCGGGCACGCGACCCAGCGGTGAATCGCCGCGGCGGCGCCCCGTGCGGGGCTGGCTGCCCTGCTCTGGAAGGGGACCACAGGGGGGGGGGGGGGGGGGGGGCGCACAGGATGCTCGGCCCTGCCCGCTGGCAAAGGCCACGCCCCGGGCGGCGCGCGCCGCTCCCGCACGCGAAGAGCACCCTCCCCGGGCCGGAGACCCGTCGCCGGGGCAGGCACCCGGGCAGGATCCAGGCACTGAGGGACCCCCAGCAGGGCATACTCGGGACTGTGCCGCCCTCGGCCCCCCGGGGTCGAACGAGCAGCACCGCCCACACCGGCCCCGGGAGAGCCGCCGCCGGATGCGCCCCGGGCCCCGGGGGCACGGATCGGGCCCCGGAGGCGGGCATGGTAGGCGTGTAATTTTTACTTTCGATCGCGCACAGCCACCCGCCCAACACGGGCAATCCGGAAGGGGGCCGAGCAAGCGGCCCGGGCGCAGGCCAAGGACGGGGAGGAACCAGCGCGCGCACGGCTGGCGGCAACACATGATGGAGCTCCTTCGCCCGGGCCGGCTCCCGACCTCCCGCGGAGCTTTGCGCCGGTTGGCCGCCGGACCGGAAAGTGCCCCGGGCGAGTGGGCGCCCCATGAAGCGAGGCCCCCCGGCAAGGTGGCCCAGTGCCTGGGCCAGGGCCGACGCGGCGAAGCGGCACGCAGGCTGGCTGGCCATCCCGCCGCCGGGCGCACAACACCGCCGCCTGCCCGTGGTGGCTACCCGGGGCCTGGGTAGCCCCCACGCACGGGCCGGTCTACTGGCGGGGATTTTGGCAGAACCCCGCCAGAATGCAAGTGCTGAAGGCCGTTAACTGGCCTGGGCGGGACTTAACCCAGGCCCGTGCCGCCCTCGGCCAGCGCCGGGCGCTGGCGCGCGAGCTTGGGGGTCCTCATGCCAAATATTTTGATTTAAAAACCCCATCCTCATTGGGATGCACTTTCCCAACCCGTCGATTTGATCCGTGATCCGGGGCCGGCGGGCCCGCAGGATCGGCCGGCCCATCGGCGCTCGTTGCATGCGCCTGCTCGGCTTGCTGCGGCTGGGGCGGCCCGCAGGCGCGCCGAGCGCCCGGAGCACCCCCACGACCGGGCCCGTTGTGGCGGACCACATTCCCAGTCTGGCGCACCTCTCCGGTCGTCCGCCGGCCGCTCCGTCCCTGCCTTGGTGCTCTTCTCGCCCCCGCTCGCCCCCTCCCTCATCTCCCCAGCTGCTGCCCACAGGGGCCGCTTCGTGCCCCCGGAGGAGGTGCTCCCACCTCCGGGACGGCACTTTCGCGGTTCGGGACCGCGTGTTCCTTTGTGTGCGGCCGCGGAGCTGGCTTTTTTCTTTTTTTTTTTCTCTCGGCCCACCCTCGTCCTGCAACGGGCTCAGCCCCCCCGATGGCGGCGCGCCGCCCCTCTCTCCCGGGCCCCAACACCGCCGGGCTCGCGCCACAAGGGACCGGCCGCTCGCTCCCGCGGGCGTCGGGATCGCACCGACCAACTGCCGACGAATGCACGGGCCCGCCCCGGGAATGCCCCGCCGGCGCCGGGAAAAGATCCCGCCCCCTCCGAGCGCAGGGGCTTCCTGCTTGCATCCACGACCCAAGGACCCCGGGGCGGGAGCTTGTGGGATGCTCTTGCTGGCCGGCTCCTTGCGCGACACGCACCCGGCAGATGGCGACCGCGGGCCGTGGAACCGGGAGGAATGGCGGTCCCGCCGGGATCCCCATGCGGGGCTTGCTGGCCCGCCGCGCCAGACGCCCGGCCCTGGGGCGCCTGCTGGGGGGCCCCGGCGTGCCGAGCAGGGGTGGCGCGCATGCCCCGCTCTGTCACGCCCCTCCCGGGGGCAGGGCGCCCGGCGCGCCGGCGCGGCCGAGCTGCCCGTGGTCTGGCGCCCCGGCTTCGTGGGGGACCCGCGCGCGCGCGAAGACCACCCTTCACGCCGGCCGCGCCCTTGACCGGGGGTGTGTGCCCTGCGGTGGGTGGTCGTTCCCTTCCCGCTTGGCCCCTCATTCCCTCGGCCTCTTCAGGGGCCGGATGATTGCCGGCCCGCTGCACGCCGGGCCCGGGGGCATCCCACCTCAAAGCATGCCCCGCGCCGGCCTCTTGCCTCCCCCCC